TTTTTCCTCTCTCACAGGAAAAGAAAGACAGACAGGAGCTTCTCTGTGGGTCTGTGCAATAACCCAGTTCAGGCTGAAAATCCCGGTCCCCCTTGGATAAGCTCCCAGTGCTCAAAAGACTCCTTGAGAAGTAAATTGTTGACAAGTCCTTGTGGTCTTAGACCCTATTGCTTCTCTCCAATAGGCCTGTGATCATGATTTTGAGTACCTCTGGGAAGATAATGAAAGAACATAATCTCAAAAAAATAGGCAGCCTTGACATTCTAGAGAATGCATGGCAAAAAAAGAGCATAACGTCCATTGCTGGCAAGGATATCGGGAAAGACAGATTCTCAGAAACTGTTGGAGAAAGTGTAAATTGATACAATCTTTTTTTGTTTTGTTTTGTTTTGGAGAGCAATTTACAAAACCTATGGACATTTTAAATGTGTCAATATCCCCTTTGAGTCACTTACTTCAAGTCTAGAGTTTCATCCTACAGAGGGCCATTCACCAAAGTGCTCACAGATATTCACCACAGTCATTTTCATCATGTTTTTTAAAACTGGAAATAACTTAAAAGTCCATTAGAGAAGGAACGGTTAAATAACACATTAGTGTATCTGTTTTATGGAATACTATACAGCACTTTAAAATAAGGTTCGAGATCCATCTACATGAAATGATGTGGAAAAGAAGGCTACAGGTACTCATTAGGTTAAAAACACAAGTTTTCAAACAGTATGAACCAAATTACCATTTTTTTAAAGTATGTACATACAGATTCGTATATGCATAGGAATCAGAGGAAGATACGAAGTCATGAGGGCAGGGGCCGAGGGGGTGTCTTCAGATGGTAGGAAGGAGGTAGAAGGGTAGGGAATGGGGAATTTTTATTTGTTGTTTTTTTAATATCCCATTTATAAATGTTCATATAAGGAACATATGTGACTTTCACAATAAGGTGCTTTTATTTATTTATTTTTTTTAACAATGTCCGGAGGCCTTTGGCAAGGGGCCTTACGATGGTGCTTTATCAACAAACATATGGCACGATCAGAGAACAAGCTGCCTCACCTTCTTGAACGCGGTTTCTGAGCAGGAGTGAACCGAAAGCCTTCAGAGGCTCATGCCCACCGGCTCCCAGTGAGACAGGATGTTCCCTGCACTACCTAACTAGTGGGGACAGAAAGAGCTCTGCAGTTGACACAGCACCTTCCTTACCTTATCTCCAACAGCCTGTGAGATAGACAGGACAGGAATTTTTATTCCCGTTTCTGCAGGGGAGGCTTGGACAGGCTCCTGCCCCAACACCCCCCAACCCTGGTCATGTGATTGGAAAGTCCAACCACCAGACGGGGAGAGAAGCGGGTTAAGCTGAGGCTCTGTCTCCATGGCAGGGGCACATACCTATCAGCAGCACCAGACATGTAGCAAGCCAGGCCTGAGCACGCTCTCTCTGGCCTGGGCTCAGGGAAAAACAGCTCACGTTGCCTCGAACCTTCCATTTTCAAGCTACCAGACACATTCCAACAGTTCAGTCTGACTTGTTGGGGACCCACTGGACTCCTGCTACATTCTACCATCTTCTGCTCAGTAAAGCTTTCCTCTGGGCTGAGCTGTGTGTCTCCCCAGCCCAGAACTCATATACTGAAGTTCTGACTCACCTCCCCTCACCTCAGAATGTGATCACAGTTGGAGATAGGATCTTTAAAGAGGTTGATTATGTTAAAATGAGGTCATGAGAGTGGATTCTAATACAATATGATTGGTGTCCTTCTAAGAAGAGGGAATTTGAACACAAACCTGGACAGAAGAAAGATGATGTGAAGACAGGGGCGAGGAAGATGTCAATGAGCCCAGGAGAAAGGCCCAGAACAGACTCTCGCCTCGGGCCCCTCAGAAGGAAGCAACTCTATTGACCCTCAGTCTCGGACTTCCAACCTCCAGGACAGAGACAAGAAATTTCTATGGTTTCAGCTACGTGGTCGGTGGTGGTGCTTCTTACGGCGGGTGCCGCTAGCACGCTCATGCATGAGTCTCTCAGAAAACAGCTGTGCTCCCTCCATCTCCAACTCCCTGAGATAGGACTTCACCGTCCTGCATGAACCGTGATCTCAATGAAAATATTCTCAAGAGACCTGCATTGAAATGGTCCAGCTCCACAAAATAACCCACCATCCCATCCCATGCTAAGAATTCTTTAGGCGGAAGCTCTTAACAATGACTGGGGTGGGGGGAGGGGACAACTGTGCGCTGGATAACTCTGGAAGTTTATTAACTGAAGAAGGGTCCAGGCCCCCCAGAAGATGAAGAACCCAGCATTGCTTTGCCTCAGGGTCCTAGTCTGTTTACGGACAAAATGAAACCCCTCAGAGTATGAGTTCCCCAAAACAGGGAGCCTCTTAATTTGTTGCGAAAAGAACAATTTCTGCTTTAAACATATACGTTTATGGTGTTTATCATAAAAATAATACTCAGTTTCAGAAATTTTGGAAAATATAAAAAACAACAAAAAAAGAACATCGCCATAACCCAGCCACCCTGAGGTTCTGCCTCTGTTTACGTTTTTATACATTTTTGCTTTGTTTTACATAGTGTTATTTCATAATTGGATGCAGAGTTATATATACAATCTTACATACTTTTTTATTTTAAAACATTCCTCCGTGTTATTACAATCTCTCTATAAACATCATTTTAAATAACTGCAAAAATCCCATTACGTCGATCACTTTTCTCAAATGTGAACTGCAGAACATCTCATTGGAATTATACAGGGTATGTTCAAAATGCAGATTTCTGGATCTTATCCCAGACCCATTTCATCAACCTCCAGGGGTGGAGGCTAGGAATCCTCACTCTAGTAGGTTTCTCAAGCAACTCAAAGCTACAAAAATTTGAAAACCACTGGAACTGGTGTAGCCATAGTTTTCTATCACCTTACCCCAAACGCTGGATGTTTTGGTTATTTGCAATTTTATAAACAGCTACACGAAGAACATCTTTGTGCAGAAAGCATTTTGTAAATTTCGTAGCGTTTCCTGAGGATGGCTTCCCAGAGGTGATATTATTTTGAAAGATGTGAACATTTTGTTTAAAGATTTTACTTATTTATTTGAGAGAGAAAGAGTGAGAGAGAGCATGAGAGGGGAGAAGGTCAGAGGGAGTAGCAAACTCTCCATGGAGCTGGGAGCCCGATGCTGGACTCGATCCCTGGATTCCGGGATCATGACCTGGGCCGAAGGCTGTCGCTCACCCAACTGAACCACCTACGTGCCCAAGACATGAACATTTTAAAGATTTTTGATAGACACACAACACGCCTATACACACCTTTAACCAACCACACAGTCTGCCCAGGTTTCCGGGTGAAATAGTTGCTGATTACTTATCTATATTTGTGGTTTACACTGGCTTTTATTTTCCAGCTCTCTTTTCAATAGAGTTCCATCTTTGCTATTGAAAATATTGAGTTAGGTCACACCAAAGTAGGCAAAAACTGAGCAGATGATCCATAAAATACCCCTCATGAAGGCGTACAAGACTCTGGCTCAGCCTCCATGACAAACCATCACAGCAGATATCCGTGGCACTCTAAGGATTCCAGGCACTGACCGCACCCCAAACAGACACCTCAACGCCCCAGCACACCCGTGGCTCACACCTCCCAAGAACGGTGCTCTGCTGGGGTCCAGGCAATGCCCAACACTCAAGGCAGATGCACAGTGAGGATGGTGTAGAGAGAGGCCCAGTTCACCCTCCCTGATGAGGAATCACCTTGCAAAGAACAAAGAACACAGCAGCTGGCAAGATCTGGGGATCCCGAGGAAGACCATTGGTGCACAGAGTCATGATGGGTTCAGGGTAGGTAGCTTGCAAGCCGCCACCGGGTCAGAAAGAGCCATGCAATGAAATTTCAAAAGCACATGGAAAACATACTGTTTTTAGACGGTGTGTTGAAATGGTGTGGGGGAGAGGAAATCGTATAAATACATGGGCAACCCAAGCAGCCCACTCTGCCACTAGATCAGGGCAATGAGAACCCGTTCATTCGTTTAACCGGCCTTCACGTAGCATTTACCATGTGCTAGGGAGGCATCCGTCTAAAAAAGCTTTACAAATGTTAACTTGTTCAATCCCTGCAATCAAGTCTTCTGCAGATGAAAGAAACCGAGACACAGAGAGGTTACGTAACTTGCCCTAAGTCGCACAGCTAGGAAGTCATGGAGCCAGGATTTAAATCCAAGCAGTCTGATTCCAGAGCCCTTTCTTTCGGCCACTACTCCATTCTGCCTTGGGAGACAGGACCAAGATACTCGGGAGCCCAGCACACAGAAAGAAGGAGCAGTGAATAAAGCCAAAGAAAGCCAGAGTCAACTAAAGCAGCGTTCCAAACAGAGATGCCTTCTGCCGACCCTCACACACCAACCCATTCTAGAAAATTCAGGTTGTTCATTACAAACAAGCCTTTCAGCATCATCTTTTCCTACCCCCACCCACCCCACACCTTCCGTCACCCTGCCTGCTGGCCCAGACAGCGGTGCCCAGCCTGGGGCACCTTCTCCCTGGTACCAAACTTCCCTGAGGGACTGCCTCTGTGCTTTATATGAAGGACTGCAAAATCCATCACCCGAGCCCCTGGGTCCTTGCCTCCAAGGCCTTCCACCGCTGCAACTAATTATCTGTGCTGTAAAGTCGCATGTGGAAACAATCTACAGGGTTTCCCATCAAACCTGGCTGGCTGGCAGCTCCCATGCCCAGGCAGGGGCAGGCCCGCTCCCCTTTTAAACAAACACATTAAGTTAATAACAACACCAACCACGTTTGACAGCCACGTTTACTAATTAATTCTCATTTGTTCCTTCTGTTCGGAAGGGGGTAGGACTTGCACAGTTTACAGAACTGAGGCTCCAAACCGATTTCTCTTAAGGTGGCACCACAAAGTTATCAGACACTTGGACAGAGAACATTCCTCCCTGTTGTTCAGCCTTGCCCTCTGAACCGGTGGCCCTACGTACCTTGAACTGAAGCTCCCCAGTGGCCATGTTTGAGATGGAGAAGATCCTAGAACCTCCCTCTGCTCACTCCAGGTTGTGGCCAGGCCTGCCCCTTGACATGAGCGAGTGGCAGCTGCCGCTCGCGACCACCCCTTCCAGTCACCATGCAGGACCAAAGCACACGGTGATCGCATTTCCATCCTCACCAGCATTCCTCAGGAGGCTTGATTATGATCCTTGTCACAGATGAGCAACCCTGGCTGAGAGGTCAAATGACATGCTCAAGGTCACCCAGCTCAGAAGCAGCAAGACCTATTTGCCTCACCCTTTGCCCAGGGATGACTGGTTAAGAAATTTGTTCCAGTTAATGTAACAAGCAGCTTCCAGGAGAACAGAAGTCCCCGTGCTCGGCATTAGGCTCTGACCACAGAACCTGCCCTCCCTCTCCGTACTTGCCTCCAAAGGCCTTTGGGCTCTGAGCATGTCAGTGATGAGCTGTTCGCAGGCTGAGGGAAGGAGGGTGGATGCCTGGGAGAAACTGCTTTTTTTTTTTTTTTTAAGATTTAAGATTTTAAGATTTTATTTATTTATTTGACAGAGAGAGGTCACAAGTAGGCAGAGATCCCAGCAGGGATGATGAGGCATATGCAGGGCTCAATCCCAGGACCCTGAGACCACAACCCGAGCCGAAGGCTGTGGCTTAATCCACTGAGCCACCCAGGCGCCCCAGAACCTGCTTATTCTACAACCTCCATCCCTTTAATCCAAACGACTTTATCCAAAGAATGTTGCCTGGGCCGGACCTGCACCCCAAGACTAGTGTCTTTGGGTCTCCACTGGACTTCTACCCAAGTTCACATCATCTCAAAGTTAGGAAAGTTCATCTGCCCACCCCTCTTGCCCTCCACTCTGTCTTCTCTCTCCTAACAGTGATCCAGCTTTTTCAACTTGCTAAAGCTTCCACCGGGACCACTAACATTCTAGATCGTGTTTAGTTCTTGCAACAATCCTGCAAGGCACATATTATTACTATAGTGCTGGTTTTACAGATGTGAAACCTGAGGCGGAGAGCTTTTGTGTGACAAAGGTCACATGGTTGGGGTGCAGCCCCCCTTCAGGCTCCGGGGTTGGGACACCTATCTCCAGCTCATAGGAGACATCTTACACAAGCCCCCTAACTTTTCCCCTCTCATCACAGAGGGTGCTGACCTCTCAGGGCCAAGGACCCTGCAGTCACATTCTTTCAGTTGCTCATGGCCTACGAGGATGGTTTAGACATGTGTCATTTTCTAAGAAGACTCAGGGGCTCCCGTGCGGAAACCAAGACCCTCACTCTCTCCTTGCTGCTGGGCAAGGAGAATTAGCTGACTCCAAGCACTGAGGGCCCCAGGTTTCTGAAGTTGTACTAAGAGGAAAAGGAAGTGCACTTGGCTTCCTGCTCAGCCTGAGCCCGGCTAACCACGTCCCACCTGGGACCAGCATGGTGGCCAGGACCCAAGGAGTCCCGATAACACCATCGGGCTCTTCTTGAGCCTCAAACCTCCATAGTTTCCTAGGGCCTCACGAAGGACCCACAGGACCTCATGTATTCTCATGATATGAGCCAGAGGGAGAGCGGTGGCCAAAGAGACGCTTCTCCTTCTTTAAAAGATGACGGCACGGAGGGGAGATGGAGTTTTCTAGGAGGGAGTAGCAAGAGCTGAAACTCAGGTCCCATTAGCTGGGAAGAGAATATAGCCCTCAGACCTCTCTGCTCTGCGCCCTGATTGAGTTTCTAGGTCTCTCAAAGCAGTTGGATTTGACGTGGTTCCAGGGCCCTTTTTTAAAGAAGAGCAGTAGCCCTCATGGGAAAGATGCCAGAGAGCTGCAGGGAACCACTAGGCCACGATCCTGTAAGCCCTCCTGCCTCCCCCATCCCTCTTAACTGCCCTGCCTCCAGAAAGCAGCGTGGGGTGGGGGGGAGAAGGGGGAAGTCTTATGGTTTTAACCCTGTGCTTGCCTGGCAGTTCTGGCCTTCCCAGCAAGCTCCAGCTGCGGGATTTCTCTGCTCCTTGCCTGCCTCAGACAGACCGGCTCAGCCGGGCAGACAGGCCTGCAGAGGCAGAGAGGCCTGTCTCACTGTAACTGGCTCCAGCCTCCTTACAGGATCTCCCCAGCCTGTGTCTGGGCCTTGGAACCTCCTTTGAGATAGCCTGGCAGGACGAACAAGGCCTGAGGAGGTAGCCAGGTATTCTGAGCCCCTTTTCCCAGCCCTAGCTCCTAACTCTGCCCTTCCAGGCCCTCTCCCTGGCCTCCTTTCCCTCCACTGGCTTCTATGAGCCCCTGCCCAGCCACTCGGTCCTTTCATTCGGGCCCATCCAGGCAACCCCTAGGCCTCACTTTCCTCTTGAGCTTCCCAGCCCACCCCTGGTGGTTGGCTTCCGTAGAGAACACTAGAACTGGAAGGACCCCAAAGAGCCACCATCGGTCTTTCCTGTATGTGGAAACCGTGACCCAGAGAGGCTAAATGACGGGTCCAGAGCCACCTTTTGGTAATAGCAGAGCCAGACTGGTTTCCAGGAATTCCAGAAATGTTTGTTCCACCAACTGCACACAGAAAATCAAATTAAGGTAATTGGGATGGCAGGTGGGGGGAGGGGTGAGCAGAGAACAAGGTTTAGCCATTTACAGATGGGGACACTGAGGCCCAGAGAGGAAAATGGGGCTTCCCAAGGCCCCACATTCACACTGCTTGTGTCATCTCTTAGAGACAGACTAAATGGATGAGAGGCTCCTAATCCTGTTGGTGACAGCTGATGTCCAGACAGCATGATTTTGTAACCTCAATTAGTCACCTATTAACAAGCAGCTCTGAAAATCCCTCCACAGGGCAAGCTGCCACAAATCCCTCCAGCTGTGCAGTGCTGTATGTCTCTCTGTCCCCGGAGAGCGTTTCCCATGGGCACGCAGTTCCCAAGCCCAGAAGAAGTCGATGAATCTGAAGAGGACTAAGAGCCAGATAGTACTTTCATCTTTTAAAAATTTTAATGAAGAAAGTTCTGCATCATTTGAGTGGCCAATCACTAGTTACCTGTAGAACTCCTGTTCATTATTCAGTTGTGAGTACGTTGGCACTAGAAGGCCTGGCTTGCCATCCCAGCTCAGAAACTGTGTGCTCTTGGTCAGGCGGCTTAGCCCCCTTGAGCCTCAGTTTTCTCACCTGTCAAATAGGAATATTACCTTCCTTTCTGCCTCTTTGTAAGATTGAAATTAGAAAACAGGGTGCCTAGGTGGCTCAGCTGGTTAAGCAACAGTCTTCGGCTCAGGTCATGATCCCGGAGTCTGCTTCTCCCTCTGACCTTCTCCCGTCTCATGCTCTCTCTCAGTCTCTCTCTCTCCCTCTCTCTCTCGCTCTCTTAAATAAATAAATAAAATCTTAAAAAAAAAAAGAAATTAGAAAACAGATATAAAAGAATGCTGTGATTTCTAAAATGTACAAACAAAAACTTACTCTTTGTTTTTTTTTTTTTTTAGAGGAGAGCAAGGGCAGAGCGAGAGAGAGAATCTTAAGCAGGCTCCAGATACATCATGGAAACGGAGCCCAACAGGGGCTCGATCTCACAACCCTGAGATCATGACCAAAACCAAAATCAAGAGTCGGACACTTAACCAACCAAGCCACCCCGGCACCCCATAAAATCATTCATTATTAACATAATATTCTCCTATTGTCCGAGAAAGTCCCTTTGTGGGGGAAGTGGAGGGGGATTTAGGCAACTCAGCCAGGTTGCTCCCATCAGCCTGATTTAAGGAGCCGCAAAACCCCAGTCATGGAAGATTCTCATTGTGTCTGGTTTGTTCCATCAGCTCTTTGGGAGCGCCAAGATCCCCAGCTTACCCACCAGCCCGTGCCACAGTTCTTCTCCCCAGCTGCTGTCAGGCCACACTGACCACAGAGGACAGAGCCCCCAAGAGGGCTCCCAGGACAGTGTTTCCTCCTTGCTTTCTCCCACTCCCAGGTCCCTTCCACTGGGCCAGCTGGGGAAGCTGACATGGCCCCCGACCCTTCCCTGCACTGGTCTCAGAGAGAGAACAAGAGGGTGGCTGACCCCCTCTACTTCTTTAAAACAGAGTTTCTGGTCCTCTCAGGTAGGTTGGGGGTTTCCTATGGGAAGGCTGGAGAGGACTTGGGCCAGCCTGGGGATAAAAAACCCTTGGTACCTCCCATTTTCTGAACCCCACACTACATCCGGGAGGGACAGGAATTAGCATTTACTAATTCTCTGTTATGTGTTGGGCATTTGCCCATATTCGGGCTACTTTCCATAACCCAGAAAGGATACTATCATCTCCGTCAAACAGATGAGGAGAAACGGCTTCCAAGATGTTATCCACAATCACACAAGATGGAAGGGATGGAACGGAATGTAAATCCAGCATTCTCACATCTCAGCGTGGATATGGGCGAGAATTGCATACACCACGGTCATTTCCTGAATCTACATATAGCAGGTTTGCTGGAGTAGATGAAAAGAAAACCTAAAGTTCTATGCACTTCTGGATTTTTATTATCATGATCATCATAATAAATACTGGAAGTGAATACAAAAATAGTTGCTGTTAGCACAGATAGCTTTAACTCTGTTGTGTTACCATCTCAGTAAAAAACTCCAAAAAGATTCCCTCCTAACAATTTCCTGTTCCAAAGTAAGCAGCTGACGTATATAAACAGTAGTAACTAATATTCAGTGACTTACTGTACACAAAACCTTATACAGGAATCTCTCCTTTAATCCACCAAAAGCCTACACAATAGGTCCTATTGTTACCTGTTTTATAGATCAGGAAACTGAGGTGTAAAAGAGATTTCCTCCAGGTCAATGAGGTGGTTAGAAAATTTGAACCCCCATGATGTGATGTTGGAACCTGTACCCTGACCCACTAAACTTAGTGTTACCAGCTCTGGGACTTCCTGGATTAAAAATAGAGCTCGAGCCAATGAAGGTACCTAGTGTGTGCTAGTTCCAGAGAGTCGATAAGCCCTCAATAACTATCGAAGGGAAGGAAGGAGGGAAAGGATGAGTAGGGGGCAAATGAAAGAGTTGCTGATGGGTCTTGGGGGTGACTCAAGCCTCG